GTGGGTGGTTTGGTTTTTTTTTATATACCACCCTACTACACTTGATATGATTATTGTTGGTAATGATGATAAAGTATCGTTTGATTTTGAATGAAAAAAAAATTCTGGAATTCAAGATTTTCATTGGAAAAAAAAGTTTTTTTTTATTTCCCTATGGCTCATCATCATCATCAACAACAACAAAACTGAAGCCAAAAAAAAACAAACAAAAAAAATGAGAAAGGAAACTATCAATAATTCTGTTTATATGTGTGTGTGTGTGTGTGTAGGAGCATCATATCAAACACACACATACATGCACAATCAACTTTTCAATGGCAAATGGGGAAAAAAATTCTTTTTTCAAAATGAATCGCTAAATATAGAACAAAAATAAAAAATAAATAAATCAAATGTTCCTGAAACAGAAAAACAAAAATGTTTCACTACCAGAATATATATCTATTCAACAAAGGGAACAGAAAAAAATAAAAAAAAATTCAGGAAAATAAATGTCCATATATATAATATCCATGCATACAAACACCCACGCACATGAACAAAATAGGACACAGGAAACAGAATTTCATTTTGTTTTCCAAATTCCATTGTTCATGATGATGATGATGATGATGATGACAATAACAAGAATAATATGGATTTACTGATGATTCACGAATCACTGAACATCATGACAAAATGAACAAATCATACACACACATTACATCACATTCAAACTTTTTTTTGTCTCTCTCGCTCTCATAAGGCCAATTAATTTTCAAATTTACAGATGGTATAATTGAATTGAATTTCAACAACATTAACATTTGAACGGAAATTGTGACATTTGAAAAAAAACATAAAACACACACACACACACACACACGGAGATAGAGAGAAATGTTTGTTGGCAAAATGTTAAACAAAACAAAAAAAAAAAAATTTTCATTTCAAATGTTAATTCAAACACATATTTTTTTCTATCCTTTGATAAACAAATTTCTCATCAATAGAAGAAAAAAAAACCTTCAACCAATGGCGGTGATGATGATGATGATGATGATAATCAATATTCATCAATTTCAATCGAATTGAAATGGAAAATTTACCATTCTCAGTAGCCATACAATTCCCATATACATCCATGTATTTGGGCCATAATTATATGTTATTATATCTGTGCGTTATATAATGTAATTCATATCACACACACACACAACGACAACAACAACCAGATGGAAATGAAAAAAAAATTTTTTCCCACTACCAGGTTTACAAATGTGGAAAAAACTTTTATCTTTTTTTTTCATATACATATCCAAATAATAACAAATAATAAATTGATTGATTGTTGTTTCAAGTTGTACCTGGTTGTTATCAAACAAAATAAAAATAATGAATTAGTGAATCAGTTTTTGTATTTTTTTCAAAGAGAGAATTTTACCAAAACAAAACGACGACAACGACAACGAAGATGATGATGACACAAACAAACAAACAAACAAATAAACAAACAGACAAACAAAAAATACACACATATGTTTTTCATCTACGGTACACCTACACCTATTTTGCACGCAAACTGGAATTGAAATTTTTTTTTTGTTTATTGATTTCATTTGGCCACGAAACAATGCAAATGCAAATGCAAATAATTGGCCATGATGATTACGAATTGCAAGAAAATAACGCCGAAATTGTATGATACATTCATTTTGAATTATTATTTCTAAATTTTTTTTTCTGGTTTTTTCAATATAGATGAACAGTTTTTTTTCCATTCTATTTCTGTTTCTCCCATATAAAAAAAATCGAATTGAATTTTGATTGAATTTGAAATTTTTTTTCTGCAGAAAATTCAATTTGAAACCGAAAATCAAATTACCAATTGAATCGCAAATATATAAAGTACAAAGTCATTAGATTTGAATTGGATTTTTTTTTTGGCTTTCTTGAACACGGCAATGATGATTGAGAATGATGATTATTGTTCAGATTCTTTGATGATGATGATGATGATGACCACCACCACACAACAACAATCGAAAATATAAAAATTTATATGAAAAAATCAGTATTTAAAGAAAAAAAAATTGGGTGGCAAAACAAAACGAAAACAGAATGTGTCTATGTAGACGAAAAGAACCGACACCGAAACGAATATTATTACAACGAAAATTTCAATCATTGATACAGAAACCAAAAAAATGGTTTGAATCAAAAGCAAAAAAAGCCGCTAATCAATTGATGGTGGTTGAACCGGTGAAACAATTAGACATTAAGATTGATATCGATTTTCATATGAAACGATAATTCATTGAAACTACAGACAGACAAACAAACGTTATGGCAGCAAAAAAAAGTTTGAATGAGATGATCAATCTGATTATAATGATGATGGCGATGATATGATAAAAATGATGTAAAATTATACGGTCAATTAACACTTCCGTGATTTTTTTTTCACCATTCCTAATGTATATGATGATGATGATGATGATGATGATTCAGGAACAAGATCTCAAACATTTGGAACAACGATACACAACGTATGACAACAAAATTCATTCACCATATTTTTTCTTGTTTGATTTTTTTTTTGTTACTTTTAAAAATTTATTATATTATTATTAAAAGATAACCATTAAATTTTCTCACCATTTTATTTCATTGATCATAATCATGACGATGATTCGTTCATTTCATGGTGTAATCATGGTGTAATCATTTCAACAAAACAGCAAACAGACAAAAAAAATGGCAAAGGTGATGGTGGTGGTGGTAACCAATGAAAATGAAGTGAAGCGAATTTTTTCAAGATTTTCGTTCAACAATTTAATTTATTCAAAATTTTAAAGATGAAATTAATCTTTGAGCCATACACACACACACACAGACATAACTTTGTTAAATTTTTTTTTCTTTTACACTGAAATGGACATACAAATTATCATGTATATATCACCAAAGTAGAGAAATGATGAACATTAAAAAAAAAGAAGAAGAAGAAGAACAATGATGCTTATTATCATCAACATCATTGATGATTGTGAAAAATGGAAAAAAAGTTCTTTTTTTCTTTTGAATTCAATTATAAATAATGTGGAATTAAGTTTTCTGTTGTTGTTGTTGTTGTTGAAACGAATAGGGACAACAACAACAACACCAACAACAATAAATTAAATGTTTTGAAATTTTGTTTCAAAAAAAAAAAAAAAAAACATTCATTTATGCATTCATTTTTCAAATTTTGAATGCCAGCATGGCACATGATGACTAATATGAATGGTAAAAAATTATTATGGATGATGATGATGATGATGATGATAATGTTTAAGCGTGTGTGCGATGGATATAAAACACTTTTTGTTTCTTGTCGTTTTTCTTATATTATCGATTTAAATTCCAAATTGCAATTTTTAAAAAGAAAAAGATTTTCAGAAAAAAAATTGCTGATAACATTGTGTTTTTTTCATTTTCGTTTCAAATCATCATATATAAACACATACACATACACACAAGATATATAAATATAAAACAGACAATATATGATGATGATGATGAACCAACCCATTTATGACCTTGATTGAATTTGATTTGATTTATTTGACAACAGAGATGATGATAATAATGATGATGATGACGAAGACAATAATAATGAATAAATGAATTCACCATTTAAAACACACATATACATAGATTGGAATTTTATTTTTCTCCCAAATCCGACACACCAATAAAGGATTGTGTATTGGATAGTGTAGAAAGATTGCAATGAAACTACCACCCACCCACAAAAATAAAACACACACACACATTTGAATTGTAATGCAAAGAGGGAAAATCAATGTGAAAATCAATTTTTAACAACAAAAACAACAAACGAAATTTATTTTTTATTATAAATGGATCGATCGATGGATTAAATTAAAAATATTTCAATGGTTAGAATCGTAGTCGTTGTCGTTGTATTAATCGATCGAGCAACAGATGCACGCGTGTATATTTTATCGAAAGGAAAAAAAATGCCAATTCGTTTTTATATCAAGTTAACGGCAAACAAGTATGCTGGTGAAGAAGAAGAAGACGGTTACGCGCCAAATCATTATGAATAAGAAGCAGCAAATAAGAAAATTAGACCGGAAGAATCTTGATTGAATCGAATAAAAATAATGTAAATGAATGAATAGAATGAAATGATGAAATAAGTGTCGACGCCAATCAAATCAAACAAAACAACAAAAAAAAACCGAAAACAAAATCAACCAACTAACCAACCAAAACGAATAGGGCGATGACAATAAAGACCAAAAAACAGATCAAAAATGATGAAATCTTTGGAAAATGAATTTTTTTTTTAAAATCAATGGACATGTGTGTGTGTGTGTGTGTTGCATACACAATTTTACTGGTTCGTCTTTTTTTTTCTCTCGAGATCTTTGCAATAGACAAAGACACTTGAGTACATCTTCATTTACCGAATGAATGAATGAATGAAATTAAACAATTGATGATGAGAAGATGAAATCTCAATGATGAAGATGAAGATGATGAATTGAATTGGGATGGAAGAAATATTCTTTTATTTTTCTCTCTGTATATACACTTTCCAGTTACATGATCATTTAGGGGCCGCGACCAGTTTTTTGTTTTGTTTTCTTACTATTTGTTTACATCATCAACAAGCATCGATTGCCAATGTTGATGATTCAATTTGGTTTTTTCCCGACACACACACACACACATTGTCAATCATTATACAATGATGAATGAATAAATGGATGGATGGGCACAAATCATACAGGTGTGAAATTTGCATGTCAGCCGACATGCAACAAAACAACAACAACAACAACAACAAAAAAAAATGGAAAAATCAAATCATTATCGTCGTACATGACTAATGAAAACAACCGAAACGTGATCAATTAAGTGAATGCTGATTTTATCATCAATCAATTATAGATAATTAATTTATCAAATTAGAGATTACTCTCTTTTAGAATAACAAAAACAAAATATTCTCATTTTTATCATTATTATTAAAAACAAAATGAAATGTTGTTTTTTTACAATGTTTAAGACCGAAGAAAGTCACGAAATTATCATGACAGCATTGGTTCAAATTGACAGGATTCTTCATCATCTGGTTGTTCTGTATATTTTGTCATGATTGAACGTAAAAATTTAGCTCTTTTCATTGCTTTGTTGTGGATATTTTTAAGTAGATTTTGATCCATTGTACAAGATCCAGTGGCTTCAAGCAAATAAAGACAATCACTATCGATAGATGAATCCGGATCGATAGCCATTCGTATTGTAGAATCTGATAATTCTTCTTCATTCATTGTTGGATCAATTAGTAAATGTCTGTGGTAAATTGAAAAGAATTAAAAAAAATGAGTTTGATTTATAATGATTAGAATTGAATTATATTACTTGTCAATTATGACGAATGTACAAAGCATTGGACATGTTCGAATTTCAATCTTTTCATATTCATTTGTTGGTGTTATCAGGCCGAATTCCGTTTCGATTTCATATTTACGTAGTTTACATTTCTTCAAAGCAACTAATGTAGCCAATAATGATAGATCAACAATCGATCCATCCATATTTAAGCAGATAATCTCCAACATTATCTTCCAACAATATTTACGAGGAATAAGACATAATTGTGCAAGATTAATACATTTTGCATGTGATAAAATTTTTTAACACATTCACGAACATAACCACTAATTGTTGTACGATCAGGATTATCCAATTCATTCGTACAGGTGTTAGAGAATCGAACGTCTATTTCAATGATGCCTTCATCAGGTTTATCGGTATTTGGTTTCACCAAAGACTATTGTTTGAATAATCAATGAATGAATAACAAAACAAATTAACTGGGACAAAAAAACGAACCGTTGTAATGCCACACATCACTGAAGATGTACCGAATTTTATCAATGCTGAACCATTGGCACTGGTAACACAATCACAACTGACCAATACATGACGAGATTCATCAAATTTTCTACCATCATGTCTTGTACCAGAATTCTATATCATCAAAATTCAAAAAGAATGTAAAAGAAAAATAAAGAAAATGAATCAGAAAATAACTTACAAGAATTGTTTGCATAAACTGTAATGGTTGTAAAACTCTAAAGAAAAAAGAAATGATGTGATTAATTTATAAATTCATAATTTATAACATCATAACAAACTTGAATAATTCGGCCATTTTTATTTATTGCAAACGATTAAATTCTTGAATAAATATATCCATGAAGAATCCGAAAACACGTGGATTGAATTTTGTATATGTATTCATTTATTGTTTCATAAATTGAATCCTAGATGTCATTACATTAGGTGTCCATTTGTTTGTAGAACTCAAAAATAAACAACATTCGATTATCTAATCATGATGATGATGATGATGATTAGGTCATGAGTGAAAGATTTTCATCTATTCAAGAAAATTGATGATCCATCATATCCATCATATATGATTATGAACAATTAAATAACCTGTAAATATCGATAACAAATATTGATGATTATTTTTTCGCTAACGAATTTGTTATTTTTTATTTTACATTACAAAAAAATCACGAATCATTTGAACGCGAATAAAAATAGACAAGAAAAAGTCAACATTTAATTTTCTGATTATTGTTGACGTTATTGTTTAAAGCTGTTTTTTTTCCACAGAAAAATATTACATCATCATCATCATCACCATACTTTGCCCGCGGGATCGAAATTCGACCCCATTGTGTTCAAAACATTCGCGAGTCAACAAACTTGATGTGTGATAAATGTCAAACGAAAATTTTCAAATGATCATCATTAAAAAATTGAAATAAATTCCATTGAACTGTTGAAAATATAATAAAAACTATAGAAACATGGGCAACAAACAAAGTGTGAAATCACATCTAGAAAACAGTCAACGTACCGGAGTATTTCAATTGACCAAGGCAAAATTGAATGAAATTCCTCCGGACGTATTCCGTGTGACAACATTACGAACGATCGATTTGTCTACAAATCATTTGAAAACTATTCCAATAACCATTGCTAATTTTACCAATCTACGGACATTGATATTAAATGAAAACCTGTTGACCCAATTACCTGAAGAGATATGTCGATTGGCTAAACTGGAAACATTGTCGTTGGCTGGCAATCAATTGCATACATTACCAACAAAACTGGGTGATTTGAGGTCATTGAGGAGCATAAACTTGTCCAATAATCGGTTGCAAAAATTTCCCATCCAATTGCGAACGATAAGACAACTGGATTTTATTGATTTATCTAAAAATAAAATCACCGAAATACCGGATGGTGTTGGCGAACTGCAAGCACATGAAATAAATTTAAATCAAAATCAATTATCAAAAATATCGGATGATTTAGCACGTTGTCCACGTTTAAAAGTGTTACGTTTAGAAGAAAATTGTTTACGATTAGACGAAATAACACGTTCATTATTGACTGAATCACAGATATCATTATTAGCAGTGGATGGTAATCTATTCGATATGAAACAATTACAGGATCATCCATCATATGATCAATATATGGAACGATATACGGCTACTAAGAAGAAAATCTAAATTTAGATTCATCCATCCTCTCTAATAATATCATCATCAATCAATCAATTATTAATTAATTAATTAATTTAACTAATTGCACTAAGAAAAAAAAATTCAACTTGTTATTGTTAAAATTGACAAACACAGAAAGAAAAATTTTTTTTTTTTTTTTTTTTGAAAATTGGCATTAAATTTGATTTTATTCAATATCGATATTTTTATAGCCATATGTGTGTTGTGTGTGGGTGTGTGTATGCATGAAAAAAAAGCCAAATTATTCTTTGTAAAAAAAAACAAATTACAAATTATTATTATTATTATCAATGAATGATGATGATAATCAGGAAATTTTTTCATCAAAAATTCTTATTTGATGCATGCCGATGTGTTGTTGGTTGTCGTTGACATATGATCTATAGTGGAAAGGCATTATCATCATCATTTTGGCTTTTTTTTTGGATGGTAGATGGTGGTGGTGATGGTGGGTGTATGCTCTGTTTATGATGATGGTTAATGTAATGTTAGTATTTCAATTCAATTATTTTTTAATTTATAATTGTTTCCTATACGTGTGTGTGTATGATGGTAAAAATGTAATGTTTGGCAATTAATTAATTATAATTAAGGTAGGTAGGTATGTATACAACATTTATGTGTAGAGGAGAGACACTGAGGCAAACAATGGTATTTTGTTGCCGTCTTTCTTTGTGATGTTAAACATGAATTATTTTATGTTTTGTTTTTTTTTTTGTTTAGTTTAGGAAAATGAAATTTATTTTATTAACGATACAATTTTTTTTCACTCAATCAGACAATAGGTTGGATGCAATTTTTTTCTGGATAATCTTGATTGTTTTTTTTTCAATTAAAAACCATGAACTTTCAATTGTTCGGATTTAGCAATGCCAATTTTAGTCAAAAACTCGACAATATTGTTTCGTTGATCGCCTTGTAATTGGATCACTTCACCATATTCTGGATGATCCACAACAGTGCCATTACAGGCAAATTCCTATTTAAAAATTATTAAAAAAACGAGTTTAGAAAAATGGAAACAATATTCAAATATACACACACACACACAACATTCACAGATACCTTTTTACATGCTTTAACAATTTTCTTTTTATCGAAATTGTCAGCAATACCTTGTACGGTAGTCAATGTTTTACGGCCACTTCGTTGTTGAATCCGTATATGGATTAGACCGTCTTGAGTACCAGTATCATCACCTCTAAACGCATCAGCGAATGGATCTAATCAAATTGAATAAAAAAAAAGAAATATAAATGATTAGTACAAAACTATATCATGGTCAAAATTAAGATATAAAAAAAATACATACCGAAATTTCGGAGGTTAAGAGGATTTTGAATGTTAGTTGTAGTAGACATACAGTTCAATTTAATTTAACGAATTTGTAAAAATTATAAAAATTTTCAAACGTTTTTATTTAAGGTTATAACCGATGAATTTTTCTTTCTTTTTTGATTGAGATTTCAAACAAATTACACAAACGAAATTTGATTAAATGCGAATTAAAAAATTCTACTAATAATACAAGACTTAACAATTGCTGGTATGTTAAATTTTTTATATAAAGTGAGCCAAAGATCGTTTTTTTTATGGTGTGAGTGTGCAATACGATACAAAGAGAAAAGAGGGGGGGAACAACAGCACAAAATTTACTTCGAATTTCGAACTAACGACGTAGGAAAAAAAAAATTTTCCGATTACAAACTGGAAATTTAACATTAATCTTTGCCACTACTACTACCACACCATCAAACAAAAAACTAGCAGCCGTTGTAGTAGTAGTAGCATAAATTCATTGAAAAAAATATGATAAAAAAAAAATTGAAAAGGCGGAGTGAAACAGGAGGAAGCTGATCAGAAACATTAACGACGCCATTTGCCACGAAACACTGACAGCATTATAAAGGATAATAATAATAAAAACTTAGTGACGCACGCTCTCTCTCTCTCTCTCATTCATCATAAGGACGGACAACAACAAGTTGAAACAGTTTCCTTTAAAACAACGCCATCTACGATGAAAACTATGTATGTATTTCCATTGATGATTCATATTATATGAGATGATGATCTTTTGATGTCATGCATGATCATCAAATTGATGATGTCATTTGAAAAAAAAGAAAGGCTTTTTTCTTTTCATCAATCGATCATTCATTCAAACAAACAAACAAACAAATACAATACACGTTAATCATTGTTAAGGTAAAAATTTGTTTTCTTCTTCCTATTATAGACATTATTGGCTGAATGAATGTGAAATGAAAAGAAAAGAAAAAATTTTATCATCCAACACAATGGAAATGATTCGACACACACACACACACACACACACATGACCAAGTGACAAGCGGTCGAAAGTTCATTTTCAATAGTGATGGTCAAAACAATGGAAAAAAACAGACAATCTCTCAGAGCACCACATGATATTTACCGGTTGAACATTTATTGATTTATTAATTTAAAAATAGCAAGTATACTTTCATTTTTCATTCAAGCAAATCCACATTTACTAATCATCACAGCTATATATTATTTTTGTTTGAAAATGGGATGTGGATAAATTCGATCGGAAAAGGAAAAAAAATTAATCTGTTTTTATTATTTGAGCATTGAAAAAAACCAGGCTCCGTTTCGTTGGTTGGTCAGTGGATTTTTTTTTTCGTTAAAATTTAAATAAAATCATAGATCGGATTTCGGTGGCACTTCGGTGAATATCCGTATTCCGTGCATATCTCGAATTTCATTTTTTAAAATCTGTAAAAAAAAAAAATTTTTATTGAAAAAGATATTATTTTTTCTAATTAAAAAAAATGAAACTCACATTGGAAACGGTTAAATGTTGTTTCACTTTGGACATTCCTTGAAAATCCATAGATGCAACATATACTTCAAACATTGAACCACAACCACCGCTTATATCTTTAACAATAATTTCCTGTGCATCTGGAAATGATTTATTCAATAATTCGTTGATTCGTGTTTGAAGTTCAACACCTGGAGATGTTGTTGATGATGATGATGATGATTGTGAAACCGATCGTAATTGAATACCTGACAATGTCAATGGTCGTATGAATTGATTGTACAATGATGATGGTGACTGTAATGATTTGAAAATAAAAATCAATTCAACAATGAAAAAAAAACTAATAAAATAACTTACATTATAAATAAATAATCGATTTAACATTTTGAAATAATAAAGTTAATTTGAATTTACCTTTAAAATTAAAAACTAAATTATAAAAATGAAAAAAAAACAAATATAAAATATACAAAGAATTCATTCGAATCACATGTGTCGAACCGTATCCATAAACGACATGACAATTTTTTGAATCTTTAAATTTTTAAATCATTCAAATGAATGGCGCGAAATTTTGTCTTGATTTTATCATAGATAGATATAAGTAATTTAATTTGGTATGGTTACAATCATGGATAGATGTTCATGAGAATGAAAATAGATTCTACATCTATATAGCAATATAGGTTGACCAAAAAAAAAAAAAAATATATTGATCCAGATTCTGGCTATAGCCAACCACTACTATCATCACCACTAGATGAGTTTGAAAATTCTATTGATCATTTATATATTGCTATGTGTTTGTGGCATAGGTGTGTGTGTGTCTGTGTATGTTTATATATCATAGAACCATAATGATTGGGAAAGTGGCTAATTTATTTGATGATTATATTCTGAAAGAATAGAAAAAAAAGATGCGGCATACACGGTAGAAAATTTTCCTCAACAATCGTTGCGCGTTACTCATGAAAAAAACCATCATTTTCACTACCAATTCTTCTACCGTTTTCTATATATTCACACACACTCGATGATGGCTTATGATTAAACTGAACATGGCCATTGGAATGTTGGATGATGTTGACTTTCAATTGTGTTTTACATTTACAATACGGATATACGATTTCCAATCATATAGCATCTCACAACATTATGTCATTTTATTATAGCTGAAAAAAATGTTCGGTCGTTTGATGTTGATGATGATGGAACTTCGAAAACAATGATTGTACCCCCTCTCCATAAATTCGAGTTCCCGATGCTCTTGAATGTATGTAATTTTTTTTTATTTTGTTCTTTATTCAACTTTTTCATTATTATTACCGTAATTCAATTGTTTGACAATTGTATTAACAACAGATTCCATTTAACTAATGATGATGATGATCATTTGTTTGTCTTATATTGTTATATATTGAATGAACAGAATGAAAAGAATTTTCTCATTTAGTATCATTTAGGAAAAAAAACACTAGCCGTATTTGTTTAGTTATCATTATCATAGATGAAGATTTTTATCTATACACATCTAAACAGTTTGGTTTCATCAAACATTAACGAAAATAGCCAAATAAATTGTCAACAGCAACAACGATTGGGTGATCAAATTGAAAGTATTAGCCATCATCATCATCAACAACAACAACAATTGCAGCAACATCGAGATTCTTCGTCATCTGAACATCAACAACAACAACAACCACAACATCGTGAACAAAGATCAGGATCACGTTCGTGGGCAATCAAACGACCAACAATGGGTGACATTCGACGACTTTCTCCACCTGGACTCAAAGATGTGAGATTTTTTTTTGTTTTTGTTTTTGTTTTGATTAATTAATTTCATTATATTCAAATCCATAGGAGTTACCAGTAAATGATGATGAACAGAAAAATTGGAAAGGTATCCTAATATCATTGTTGGTCATTTCGACAATCTGTTCATTTATATTTCTATCGATTGTATTGATGACACCACGTAAGAATTAATTAATTTTTCATTTTTCATTTATCAATAATAATTTGTTCACTTTTTTTTGTCTAATTTTAGATATGGATTTTACAAGTAAACAAGAACCATTAAAAATTGAAGATTTTATTCTCGAAGGTTATGAATCACGTGATTATAATGGTTCATGGATATCTGGAAAAGAAATTCTTTATAAAGAATTAAATGGTTCAATTTGTATTTATAATGTTGAAACTAAACATAAAGAAATGATATTGGACGGTGCTTTGACGGTAAGGATTATTAATTATTTTCTTTGTATCAAATTAGTTTATTAATTAATCAATGATGATTAATGTTAAAAATAGCGCCAATATGAAGTACAACGATTTATGGTATCACATGATCATCGTTATCTTTTATTGGGTCATGATTTTAAAAAAACTGGTACACATACTATTCTTGGCCGTTTTACTATATTCGATACTAAATTACATACATTCACACCATTACGATTGAATGAACAACAAAATGAAATCGATATGCATCAATATGCTGATTGGGTTCCCGATCATTCATTGATCGTATTAATAAATCGTAATAATATCTATCTATTAACACCATTAGGTGGTGTATTACATATTCTTACTGAAAATGGTAAAGATGAAATAATCTATAATGGAATACCGGATATAATCTATGAAGAACATGTATGGAAATTGAATAATGGTATATGGCTTAAATCCTATATTGGTGGTTGGATGATGATCTATTCAACTATTGATAATACACAAGTGGAACAAATTCCATACATTATTTATGGAAAATCATCAAAAAATGAAACACAATCCTATCAATCAATATATGCTGATAAACCAACTGGTTATGTTATGTATCCAAAACTTTATTCATATCCATATTCAAAACCTGGAAAAAATATTCCACGTATTTCATTGAGCGTTACAAAATTAAATGAACGTAATCAAATTGTTTATAAAAATCAACCGGTTACATCACCATTTGATCGTACACAATTGGATTTTACTGATCATTATTTATCTACTGGTCCTGTTTGGATATCACCATATGAATTCATTGGCATATGGACTAGACGTACACAAGAACATGCCATTATTGGTAAATGTCGTGAACAAACAGCTGAATGGCAATGTGAAAAATTAAGTGAAGAAAAACAATTACGTCCAATTGGATCATTGGTTTTACAATCACGTCCAATCATATCGTCTAGTGGTGATCGAATATTTCTCATATTACCAGTTAGCGATGGTCTTGCTGGAATGTTTGATCACATTGCACAAATTACTATGGATGGAAAAAAACAATTTTTAACACATGGTCAATACGTTGTTACATCGATTTATGCTTATCGTGAAGATCTTCAAACACTATATTATGCTGCCAATATTGTCGATGAACCTGGCATTCGTCATATTTATTCATTACGACATCATAATAATTCTAATGAACAACATTATATTAATTGCATATCATGTAAAGTGAATGCCACTTGTCTTTATAATAATGCTCGATTTAGTCCGGATGGTAAATATTTTGTACTTGAATGTTTGGGACCAGATTATCCAAGTTTCTATTTAATTGATACGGAAACTGAAAAAATTATTGAAATTCTCGATACAAATGAACGATTACGTCGATGGTCAGATAAACGTGCAATACCAAAAATTCGACAATTTGCAATCAAAACTAGTCGTCCAGCCAATTATTATATACGAATACAATTAATTTTACCGATTTCGGTGAATGAATTGGATGATGCACGTTATCCATTGTTGATTGAAACGAATCGTATGCCCGGTGTACAAAGTGTTAATTATCTTAATAAAATTGATTGGCTACGATATCTATCAAGTCGTAGAGAATATATAACAGCCAGAATTGATACACGTGGAAGTGGTTTTCAAGGTGATCGTCATCAATATTCCATTTATAAACGTATCGGTGAATTAGAGACTGAAGATTTGAAAATTGCACTTGCCTATCTAAAACAATTACCATATGTTGATCATTCGAAAATTGCTATCTGGGGCCAAGAATATGGTGGCTATCTATCGACAGCATTTTTGGCAACAGAAAATTCTGTAGCCTGTGCTGTAGCTGTGGCACCGATTACCAGTTGGAAAAATTATTGTAATAATTTTACTATATTCCTTTTTGTTTATGTTAGAATTTTAATTTGAATTTTACAAATTCTATATAATATATAGTGTCCGTATTCTCCGAAAGATTTATGGGTACACCAGAAGAAAATTATCTTGGCTATGAAAAAAGTGAACTAATGCAATTGGCACCATCACTTAAAGGACGAACATTGAATCTAGTTCATGGAACAATGGATCGTAGAGTTAATATACAACATTCAATGCAATTTATCAAATCATTAACAATGAATGCCGTACAATATCGAACACAGGTAATTCAATAATTGAAATTTAAATTTCGTATCATTAATTTAATCGAATCATTCATTTCTTTTTCATTTTAGTTTTATCCAGATAGTGGATCATTGGAAACCTGGGATCTAATGATACGTTATCATTTCTATCGTACGATGGAAGATTTTTTTGCCAAATGTTTCCAAGTTGAAGCCGACGATGATGAAGATGATTTAATACCTATTACAAAAGTTATAAAAGGAAAATTTAAAAATACATAGGGGAAAAAAAATTTCAAAATTCAAAATCACATTTGGAACACTTTGTTTAAATCATTGTGAAACGTGAAAGCAGCAAAAAACCACAAAAGTGTCTTCAGTTTATCTGTTTCACACACACACACCCACACACCCACACACATCTTGTTGAATTTTTTCTCGTCTTTTTTCATTTCAAACATCATCATTTGTATTCATATACAATACTCACGCGCTCGCACTTTCGAATGTTTCTCAATGTACAGAATTTAATTTGTTTTTGTTTTCACAATATTTCAGTATTATTAATCTTATCTTATTAATTAATTATATATATAGACAAGTGACAAGTGTGTGTATGTGTGTGTGACAAGTTTTAATAATAATTTTATAATAATATTTTTGGGGCCAAGAATGATATAAATAAAATATATAAAATCACTAAATAATTTCTTTAAATTAATTCAATTGATGCAATTATTGATGATGATTATGATAATAATTAAAATCTAAAAAAATAATTCACAGATTTTTCAAGAATTCATTGCTGCCATTTGATATGATGGATCCGGCTCGCTCATATTTGGTGATTCAACAAACGACATACAAAATTCACCTATTTTAGTAATTTTACCATTACGACCTAAATATACTGTTAATGATCCTTTATGGGTGGATGTGTAGCTGGTTGAAAGGATTGATTTAATTTTAAAATTCCATAATATGATACTAAACTTACCATCGAGTTAAACGACAAATATCACCCGTTTGAATATAGGTACCCGGTTCATCATAAATACATACATTTATCGTGCCAGTACGATCGGCAATTCGAAATAATCTTATATCATGATTATCTTTGGTCAAATAACGTGTAACTAGAAAAAATATTTTGAAACAATTAACAGGATTCAATTTTTTGTTTTTGTCAAGAAAAATCATCAAATTTCTTACCAACTTCAATTACAATGCCAATTAAATTTATTTTGCTCATCTGTGGTTTAAGATCTTTAATTGATTCAATTTTATCGGCCATATTTATATGATTGATCGAATAGCCCATAATAAATGTTTGAATAATTCTGAAATTCACAAAAAAAATAGAAAAAATTGAATGCTCGAATCCTAAATTGAAAAAAAATTCTCGAAAAAAAAAATAAATGTTCTGTTCATAAACAATAGGATTGATAATTTTAAAGAGTCACGTTGTTTATTGTTTCCATGAACGATAAACGAAAAATTCTTTTAAATCCAGAATTTAATAATCATTTGTATGTTTGGTGCCTTTATTATATTTTGTTATTATCCTTGGACATTATCTCAGATCTTTTTCCAATCATTTGATAAAGTGGTCGAGTAAGTCGATATCGATCAAAAAAAAAAGTTTAAAAAATTTAAAATCTAAATCGAACGTGATCATCAGCTGTAATTGAACATTTCATTTGATTTTTGTGATATTTTTATAGAAAAAAAAGTAAGTAAACTATTTGTTCAAAAGTTTTCATATATTAATTATATTCTATTGAATATGACAAATATAGAAAAAAAAATTAGAATGGCCGATCGATTAACACAACTTCAGGATGCCGTCAATGTACAAGCTGAAAATTTGTGCAACAGTATTGGATTATTGCAACAATGTTCACGGCCAACACCGTTTCCTGATTTTTCTGCATTTGCTCGTTCACCTAGTACGGCATATAAACAGGTATTAATTGAAGCCGGAATACCCGTTGAAATTGAAGACGTTGATAATATTGAACAAAATGATAACAATGTGGTTAAAAATGGCCATGATAATCCGAATAATAATAATAATAATAAATCTGCAGAAAAATCAAATAGTGATGTCAAACAGAATGGTAGTGATGCTTCTCTGATGATTAATGGTGATGGTATTCCACAACAACAACAACAACAACAACAACAACTTGCCGATTCTGGAGAAAATTCCAAATTTTTTGCCAAACTAATCACAAAAACAGCTAAAGATATTGATTTAATTATTGATTCATTGCCTAGTCGAGAAATGGAATCCGATCTACAAGAAGCACATATAAAAGTATTGGAAATGGAAAATCATGAAGAGGCAAAAAAATTAGAAAATGTTATCAATCAAGCAGAACAATTATTGGATGTGATCAAAAATGCATTAGAAGATATTGCTCAAAATCAGATGCGAATGAAACAATTAGAGGCACAAATGTTGACATCACCATCAACAAATTCTACCACCATTACATCATTGACGAAAAATACCCTGCAATCATCAAATAGAATTTTACATAGCATTCTTGATGATCATTCACCTGATTAATGAATGAATATCGATCCAAATGGCATCAATTATCAATTCACTAAATAAATTTTAAAATGGACAGAAAAGTATTTCTTTTTTGGATTTTATTATTATTATTATTATGTTTTGTTTAAATAAATTAATCTTTGTATGGGTGGTGGATTGTTGTTGTGATTCGAGTGTGTGTTTGTGTATGTAATTGTAAATTTTTTAATTTCCAATTCATTCATTCATTCCTTCTTTAAACAATACGAAAAAATTGAAAAAAAAATCAATCGACAATAAATTAAAAAAGAAACAGATCGATCAACATATCGGATGAAAGAAAGAAAAAATCAAACAAACCAAAAAAAAAAAAAAAAAGTATTGCACATTCATTCATTAGTCTGGTTAGCTCTGGTAGGGATAGTAGTACACGTCTATTTGAATGTATAAAAATAATAATAATTAGAATGGTCAGTAATAACAACAATAACGTGGTTTCGGTGTGTTTACATATATATTCATCATCATTTTTAAAAGGTTAAAATTTACAATTTTCAATGATAAACAAAACAAGTATATATTGATCTTGAAACTATTCAAACTGTCCAAGATTAATCACATATAACATGACAAACAAAAATAAAAATTTCAATTTTCCTAATTCATTGACAGTGTTTTTTCTGTTTTCTCTCTCACACACAAACTTCTTCGATCATTTCGGTTTTTTTTTCTCATCTGAAGGAAAACAAATTCAAATGGAGTGTGGATAGCGGATTTTAAAATAATAAATAGATCTATATATGGATTCAGAGCAAGGGGAAAATAAAAATATTTCACTAGGAATTTCATTTATAAATCTGTGGTGGTTGTATGGTTTGAACAATAAAAATATAGAATAATCAAATATTCTGATTCTGAAGATTTAGCTAGATTTTGTGTGTGTGTGAATGGCATTGATGAACAGAAAAAAAAATTTGATGAATCAATTCAATATAATAATAATAATTCTTGATGATGATGGATTGATTTTTCAGTGGTTTGATTGATTGATTTGATTTGATTTGATAAAATATAAATAAAAAAATTTTTATATATACTCTGGAAGCTCTATGAATGAATGTTTTGTTTTGTTTTTCTTATGAAAAATTATCAGATTCGATTGTATCATCTTATTGATGAACTATATTCTCTGTGTATTCTGTGATGTAGCTGATGGGATATTCTTCATCATCATCATTCAATTTAGATGATTTTGGATATATTGGGTTTTCTTTTTTTTTTTTTTTTTCTTTTGATTACATTGAAACTATAGTTAGCAGATATATAGAGAAAATTAGATTCTGAGGCATCGTTTGGAATTTTTTTTTTGCTTCGTAAATATACAGCAAATGTATACGTGTGTGTGTGTGTTTTGTATTTTGTTTTTCAGTTAAGATTCTTAGTAATCATCATCATCATCTTTTTTTTTTTTGCTGACATCATTCGGACAATAAGTTGTCATTCATATGGAAAAGAATTTTGTTTTTCAAAATAGAATAGCTTGAAGGCAGAATTACATCGCAATTGGAAAATTCTTTATCAAAAAAAAAAAAAATCATAAAGAATTTATAGCCGATGGATATGTGTGTGTGTGTGTATGGGTGTGGGTGTATGTGCAGATGTCTTGATTCTTTCCATATTCTTCATGTGTATGTATAGGTGTGTGTGTATGACGTTTTTAAAAATTGCACAAGTCAATTTTCAATGTTTTCACTTGTTTTCATCGATTGAATGTTGGTAAAAACCGATTTGAATATTATATAATGATGATGATGATGATGATGATAATAATGAGAAAGAATAAAAATGAAAAATCGAAAGACGAATTTTTTTTTGTTCAAATGAATGTCAATTGTCCAATTGAGTATGGTTGTTAGATGAAATATGATTTAACGATTTGAATGGGAAAAAAAGTGTGGAAAGAAAAAAATTTTGATATCTAAAAAAAGAATTTTTTTTTCGAACTCAAAGAATCTGTGTATAACAAGTGTGTGTGTGTGAGAACGAGAGAGAGAGTGGTGATTGTATATAAAGAATTTTTTTTTGTTGTTGTCATGAACTCATTTCATATGATAATGAGAAAAAAAAAATTTGTCTCAAAGTTTGTGTATGTAATTTGTTACAGCTGCTTTTTTTCTATTTTCACATTAAAAATATTCCTGCTTGTTGTTTGGTGAATATAAAATTCTTGTCGTTCGTTGTTGTTTACGGAATTTAGAGCACTTTAACGAAGGATAGAAATTTTTTGTATTCTCTGGCAATGAGAATAAGGGATGTGTGTGTATGAATGTAAAAACGTGGGTGTTTATATGGCCAATAAATAATTGAAGAATAAGAATTCTTTGACTTCCGTATAAATGTACGACGTTCTAATGATGTTTGTGTTTTTTTTTGTGAAGAAATATGGCTAAACAAGTTGTCTTAGTGGTTATGGTGACGGCGGTGATGTTGAATTTTTGAATATTAAATTCTAGACTGCATCATAGAATATTTATCAATAAACACAATATTTGTAATTCCGTTTGTTTTTTTTCAATAGTTTCCTCATCATTCTGATAATGCCGTTACAGTGGTTGTAGTTGTAGTAGATGATGATGTTGTTGAAAAGGCCATTTTATTTTTGGATTTTTTGTTGTTATTACGATTCTTTGATATTTTTTTGCCATTATTTGTAGATGTAGGATTTGATGAATTTTTTGTCAAAAATGAATATCTACCAATATTGTTTGATTGATGATTGATTGATCCATTTTCATTACCACTACAATATAATAATAAAAGTTTACCACCAGTTGTTGTTGTTGTTGTTGATGATGATGATGATGATGGTTGTAATGTTTCTTGTACTGAATGTGAATGATAAGAAATCGATTCCTGATCATCTGATTGTTGTTCTTCATCCAAACGTTTCATTGTTGATTGAAATTCTAATGAACTAGATTTACGTGGAAAACCAAAACGACAAAATTTTTGTAATTTAATCGAATGATTAGATTTTGATGGCGATGATGATAATAATGATGAATAAGGATGCTGTTGTTGCGTATGTGATTGATTTTGATGATACAATAATGATGATGATGATGATGATGGTGTACAAATTGATTCAGGCGGTGATTTATGTCTACGATGATTATGTATCGGTGAATATGGTGATGATTTGGTCTTGGATTCATTATCATTCATATCATGAATATTATTATTGAATTTTTGATTTTGAATGTTGATTTTAGAATTTCCAACATTATCATCTTCATACGATGATGATGGATGGGTTGTCATTTTCTTAGAATCATCTTTATCATCATCATCATTGTCATTCGATAGATCCGTAATCATATCACAGCTACTGATTGGATGAATTAGATCATATTCTTCCATTTTTAGATTCATTTCAAGATTATCATCATCACCATCGTTAGAAAATAAAGATGGTTCATTCACATTGATTATATGAGGATTATATGTCATTGACTGTGTGATGTTAGACGAAACCATCATTAAACCATCCTGATCAACATCTTCTTGTTTGTTGTCGTCAACATTATAACCATTTTTATCATCATCAATCATCACATTGTCCGCTTCTTCTTCAATGTTGATTTCATTCAAAAAATTAAATGCTTCCAATGCATCTTTCTCATCTTTACCATATCGAGCATAAATGTCATCCACACGATTCACCAATGAACATCGTGCTTTTGGTGTAAAACTTATCACCACATCTTTAAGTCGACTAATCAAGCCTATTAAACAACAAGGAAAAAGAAAGTTTAAGAATGTCAAATACAAATTTGATTTGTTACTAATAATAAATGAAAATGAAAAGAAAATGCCGGAAAAGAAAAAAGAAGACGTCGACAAACCTTTTTTCCTTTGTTGCCGAAATCGATGCAAAGCATGTAAATGTTGATGGCCAAGATTTGTATTGATATTATCCATGATGTCAACAACATTTTCATTATTCATCATTGAGGGTTGATTGCCCGTTGAAGTTGAAAATGATGATGATGATGATGATGATGCCAATGAAGATGGAGGAAGAATTTTTTGACTTTCAATCATTTTACCGCTATTCAATGATGATGATTGATGATTGTGTCGTATTGTTCGATATGATTGAATTATTACCATTGGAATTACCCACTCCTGTTTGTATATTCTGATGTTGGATGTTGTTACAATTTCCGGTTGTTGTTGTGGTTGTATTTTGATTCAACATTTGTATCTTGTTATGAATGTTGTTATTGTTCTTGGTGGTTGTCGTTGATAAAGATGTTGTTGTTGTCGTCGTCGATGATGATGATGATAAAGAAATCGGCAACGATTGATTAGTTTTCGAATTCGAATGATTTGATTGACTAGATTGTAAATGACTTTGTTTACCATTAATATAATTACTATTACTATGACCAATTGATGGCAAAACATTGTAATCGTTGGGTATTGCATACTGTCTTTGTGGCTTTTGTAGATGCCGATAAGCTGTAGCTGCACGCGATAATGGTGAATTGAGGGCTGAAAATAAGCTATCGGTTGTTGATGTGAATAGAATTGATGATGATGATGAATCTTGTGGTGATTTAATAAGTGGCGGTGGTTGTTGTGATGGCCAACGATATTCATCACGATAATTATTATTATTCAATTTTGTTGTTGCACTTTTCGATTCAATCAATGATGGTAAATCATTATAAAGATTTACATCATATGTTTCATTATATTGTCGAATACGATTACGATAACCAGAATTGTCACAATTAACCAAACCATTTAGAAAGAGATCATATTCAAAATCTAATGATGATACAAAATAATCTGTACCAATTATATCACCGGTCATATAGATAATGTCATTATCATTATCATTATTATTATAAGTAAAACCAAAACGACCAATACCGGTATTTTGATCACGATTTCTTGATGACATCGTTCTGGTCGGTGTCGATGATGATGATGATGATGATGTAGTAGTCGTCGAAGATGATGATGATGATGATGATGAAAATTTAT